CCAATAAATGCACCAATTTGTGCATTTATTCCGTTTAATTTGTCCTAGAGTAATCATCACACGAGATAAAATAATTCAGTTTGGGTTGTTCACTGATTCGTGTGAGAATAGAGGAATAACTTTTAAATTCACTTTGATATTTCGAATACAAGGACGCGATCGTCAAACTGAGATGGAACCCACCGCTAGTTTCAAAATACTGTTTCTTAAGCTTTTTTACGGTAAATCGGCACGATGCAACGATTTGAAAAAATACTGACCGATAGCTCTCGTTTACCAAATGCAGCCCTCAATAATAGCTTTAAGTGATCTGGGGAAATATTATAAAATAAAAACCAATTCTCCATATTAATTCCTTATATCCAAATGTGAATGCGGCACCCTACAGCATTGTCAATATGTTATCAAAGCTATTTTCACCTAGATTATTGAGTTCAGGCATTTTATTCTGGGGGCCCCAGCAGACGTGACAGCTTTGCGGATGACAGGTACCTTGGAGGTCGTGGGTTCAATTCACGCCAAGGTAAAAACCGTGCTTATGTATTTATAGATGTCTTTGAATTTTAGGGGGGTCGTGGCTGCATAGAGTTCCAATTCTCAGGCTAAAAAAGACACTTCAATAGCGGTTTGTTCAACAAATAAAGATTATTCTACGTTAGAGAATTTTGTACAAACGAGATTAATTTACACTTGCCATTATTGACACCAGGTAGTTATTACATCTAAATCTTTTCGAACTAACTCAGCATCAGTGGCAGCTTTAATATAATGAACCACTCACAGATAATAAATATTTATAAAATGAACAATCGTTTACAAAAACTGAAAAATAACACCCGCCAACATGGCTACCTTGCGGTACACCAGAAAATGCAACAAAAGTGCTAGAAAGATGGCATTTGTTGACATTCAAATCAATAAGAGAACCAAGAAAATATTTCACCTTGAATTCCATAAGGCCAGAGCTAGTTTAACAACAGTTTGTGATCCACTCAGTAGAAGGCTTTACTAAAATCCGTATACACTGCATCAACTTGGTAGTCCTCTTCCAAAGTATTAACATTATAGTTAGTGAACACACCTAAATTTGAAACAGCCAAGGAAGAATCCATTATATAATACATTCACAACTTTTGTAGACCACAACAAGCCATTGAAATCTAGTAGCTTTGTTGGTAGTCAACATTAGTAACCTAAAGTTTCTTGAGAAATACTTCTTTAAGTCCATTTGGGTTGTTACTGATTTAACGTTAGGAATTGTGTCAGAAGCCTAACCATTGGTGCCAGCTTAAATATCATCAAGAAACATTAATAGTAAACTAATTAATTAAACATTCAGAATTTGATAACTATAAAACTTAGATATAAATAAGTAATCTGCCGCCGTGCGACGTCTATGGGTTTTCTAGTACATTAGCGCAATAACCGGTGACTTGTCATTGTCTAGAAGCGGTTCTCCGGTAGTCTCGGTGCTCCGGAATAACCTCGAAGCAGTGATCGCGAACTCTCCAGAAGGAACGCGTGATGTTTAAATGGGGACCACCGTAGGGAGCGAGCAGCAAACAAATAACGCGATTGATGGCTATGCTCTAGACAATGGATAAAAAGATGGACTCAAGAAATAAAGGAATGGATGAAAAAATGTAATGGAAGTTCGAATGAAAACTATAACAGATCTAATGCAAGCGACTGATGTAATTTTGAAAAAAAAAGTAGTTGCAAGTCTTGTCTGAATACAAAATCATCAAAAATCTCGGTTGGTTTTCTTTTCCGGGAGAATAATGAAGTTGATAAATTTTCGTTTTTGGTCACAAGAATTTTTAAGAATGTTGCACAGCTTACTGATAAACATATTTTTTTAAAACAGACATCTCTGAAGTCTCTGTAAGTTACACAAAATATGCTAGTTATCCTAAAATTTATTTGCTCCGGTCTTAGATCAGGCTGATCTTTACAGAACTGCAAATGAAATTATTTTTGGTATTTTGAACTTAATTGTTTGACGTAAATGCGTTTTAAATTTTACTTACTTGATTCAAAAACAAAAAACATGTTTTTGCTGGTATGCTGGTCCTGTTTCCCGGTTTAAACATTGGTACTACACGGTCAGTTTACAATATTTGTGGACCAGTGCCAGTATTTAATGATTTAACATGATTAAATAAAGAAGTAAATACAGTTTATTGCCTCACAAATATGTACATGTTATCACGTACAGCTTGTTTGAGTTTGTCACAGCAAATGTAAATTTGACATATACTACTGTATATGACAACAGGAAATTCGCGTTAGCAGAACAGTTACAAAGATACAAATATAAAGATAACCATCACTAACATCGGGTAAATTATTTACTACAAAAGTTTTAGTAATTTTAAGAGTTGAAGTCAAAAAATTCTTTACAATTGTAAAAAGAATAAAGTTTCAGGAGTTTTTGCGAAAAGTACGACATGTTAAATTGAAATTTGAATTTACCCACAAATTTATGCCATAGTTTAACAATTTGTCTGATCTGATAGATTGTCAGAGGGGCAGTAACTGTGCGATATTTAGACGCTTTTTTGTAACTGAAATACAATGTTTTACGAAATAAGAGAGTACACAATCAGAGCCTGAATGCAAACTTAATTTTACGTTGTTTAGTTTATCCAAAACAATATCATGAATTACGTTAATGTTACACAAATGAACGTTATTGGAAAACGGACTAAAATTGTGTGGTGGATCGATTATTGTGGGAATTCCGTAAACAAATTTCCAAAAAATTGCATATTACAAATTTCATCATAATTCAAGGAAGAAATGTTATTAAAACTCATGACGCTAAAAAATGAAATTCCCTACGCAAAATTCAAATTGAAATTGAGTAAATTAGTCACTTGCAAAAACAAGTGTAATATTTTATCATTTAATTCGACGGAGACGTAGGTTTATGCTAATAATGGCTGCATTTTATGTTGATTTTTGTTTTGGATAATCCTTACATACTGCTAGTAGAACTGTTAAGATTATTATGTCTGGTGCAAGTTAAGGGTTTCCTGAAACATTTGATTAAGCGATTCCGTTTGTTGTTTTTGAGTTCGAAACAATTTTTGGAAAATTGGGAAGTACGTGGAAAGGTTAATTAGCGATGGTGAGATGTAACGATTGTCGCATTTTTGGAATGTTCGTGTGAATGAATGAAATAGTGCACGTTGCGTGCTTTTCGAGTAGAACTGATGTCATAGACCTCGCCTTCGTCTCGTTTATTAATACTATCAAATGAATAAATTTAAATAGAAATTTTATCGGCAAAACTATCATTATCATTATCATTACGCCTGTCGACTACAAAGTCATTTCACGCGACTCTAATACGGGATTGAATTTGATTAAAAATACAGTGGAGAGACATTTCATGCATATAAAATGCACAACGCTCAATGTATGCAATACAAACGAACATGGAAACGACATAATTAATGGTTTTGTTATTTATGGTTGTAAATTATTTGTAAACTAGGCATTAGTTTAAATAATCCATTAAATAAATTAATGGCTTCCGCTAGAGACACTGATACTTCTATAATCTGGCATCCAAAAAGCAGTAAACAATAATGATATCCCGGTGCACTGTAAACCAGTTGTCGATAAAACATCCCGACGTTCCTTTCAGATGCAGATTTAATGTTTCATCCGCCCGGAAATTTATGCATCGTACGGCCCACCGAAATCCAGATTAAAAAATTATTATTTCAACACCTCGGAATCCTTTATTCCAATTAATTCAATGAAAACAGCTGCGTTTTTTTCTGGAAAATGTCGTGCTCGCACACACATGATGGAAATCTTGTGACGTCAGGCCTGGCGCCAGCTTGGCAGACGTCCCGTGAGCAATATGGCGCCAAGGGATTTAGTACAGTGTATCCGACCCAAAACTGTGTCAAATTCACAGACGAAGGTTAGCCCGTAACACGCGTTTTATCCTCTTTTTTTGGCAAAATTGTAGAAGGGACGGTTCTGGCACGACCCTAGTCAAAATTTAATTACATTTCTGCATTATACAATATTCCCCAATGAGATTATATTGAGCTTTTCTAGTGGAAGTAAATTAAATATTTACTTTGAGAAAGAAGGGATGCCTTTGAGTCGTGCGGATTTTATCGAAAGATGTAATTAAAAAAAATTATCAGCGGGAGCGGCTTTGTTACGAAAGCTCGGATTGTCGAAGGCGGAGTTTCGCAATATTAAAAGTCGCTTTTATCCGCAATGTCGCGATGACTCTATTTTTCGCGTTTGCTTGGAGTCAATAAATAATGCAAAACTACAGTTTTTTTAGAATGCTTTTGTTACTTTTGTATATTTGTGTACAATGTCAAACAATTATGAGTTTTCAGTTTAGAGCGCAAAAATGGTGGAGGCGCCGGGATAGCAACTAAACCACAATAAACACAATTTCATGTTTTTAACAGACATATATTGCATAACTGTTTATTTTATATACATATTTACAATATAAAAAATATATAAAAAAATACCTTTTTATGTAGTAATACAAATATCAATTCGTTTCTTTTGTATGAATTTGTTTAATTTCGACCAACTAATTAATAATAACGTGTTTCAGGCTGTTGATATTTGTACAAAACTTGTTAGATGTATGTGTGCAATTTTTCTGTTGAAACGTAAAATATGAACGCGTAACCCTTTTCATCTAAATTCGTTTTTCTAAAATTACCCCGGCGCATTCACCATTTGTATAATAAAAAATAAACAATATTAATTTAATTCATCGGTTTGCCAATTTCAGCCGTTACTACGGCTACATAGTTTCAGCAATAACCCATTCTGTACAAAATCCGGGGCTTGCGAACTTCAGTACAACGTTTATACATCTGCATTACAAAGTTTTGTCATCGGTTTTTGCATTAAAATAATCCGCTTTATTTTTCCGTAGATTTGTGCATGTTTTCCTTCCTCCCGTGCTGCAGCGAAAAAATTAAATCTGTTTTTTGTTACAGAGCTAATCCCAGAAAATGGCGGCGTTCGTAGCAAAACAAATGGTTGGGAACAAATTAAACGCAGTTAAAGGTAAATATAACGTTAATATCGTCGAAAATTCCGTAAAAATGACAAATGCGCCTCTGGTTTTAAACATCCCATTCGTATGCGAAATAATCGCCAAGAAAGCCGGCTTCGTAGGAAATGAAACCGAAGCCATAAATTAAAAGCGAAATAAACGCCACAACACACTAAAACAACAGGACAGTGGCACGACGTGAACGTGCTGGAGTACATTAGTCTAGCGATGAGCTAGTCACAGTCTAACGTAAATAGAAACAAATAGCGCGGCATCCGTTTGTTCAAGATTTTCTGTGTGACTTCTTTCGATTCCTCTAAAGCCTTCGAATAAGAAAGGCAAATACAATTTTCCAAAGTGAGCCGAGACATCGGTTTTGTAAATTCTAACGCCTTTTTTGTTCGCGTTCAGAGCGAGCGAGATCCATAATTTATTCGGCCATTTCTAATGCAGGATAATCACGAGCAATTTGCTCTGTCGGTAGGGCTCGGAACGGCACCCACGAGCCCTTAACCTTAGCTGCGACCTTCGGTCGAGGCGCAAGGGGGAGATAAAGTGCTCGGAAGGCTTATTAGGGCAGGCGAAGTCTCAAAATCGAAACGCGGATTAGGTCATTCCACCCCCAAACAACGGATGAAACATTTTAATACTATATTTTCGTATAATTTAGTCAAAAGGCGGAAAACACTTCTTGAAATTGTATAATGCAATTATTCAAACATTCATATGATGAATTGTGTATAACTCTTCGTAGAAAATTTTTACCACGACTTTACAAAAAGTTAGCAATATACTATCATACCTATAATCACTGCAAGACGTATTTTGTTGTGTTTTATACATATAGTTTTAAATATTATTTGAACATTTTTAGTGGTCTTGGGTTTAATAGTTTTCCAATATTTACACTTACACGTTCTTTAACTTAATTTAGTACAATCGAAAGATGTTAATTAATAGAAACAAAAAAAGTCAGTCCCAGGAAAATATGTTATATTATCGTAATTATTGGATAATTACAATATAATTGATCAAAAAAAGTGCAATCATAACAGTATAATATTAAAACGTGTAACCTTCATATTGATTTTCTTATAAAAATGGGCTACAATTTGATTGCTGTTAAAACGATTCATTTCTGGAGAGAACATACTTTAGTAATTGTGCTGCAGACATTAAAGCCATACAATTTGTCTTTGGGTTAGAACTAAATTTAAAGTGGTTTTAGCGAGTACAGAAAAAGTTATTAAAGACAGAGACAATAAATCTTTTCAAACACGAGTGGCATCGTTGAAGAACAGAATTTATTTTTACAATATTGTCACAAAATTTTGCCATTAAATCTAATCCTTACTTTTTGGCATATTCCACACATTAAATAAATAAAAAAAAATGTAATTAAATGGTTAAAACGTCCGTGAACAACCATGTTTTATTGTACAGCTGCTACCTCTTTTACAGCGTTTAATTTGATTAAAGTAACTAGTTAAACTTGTCAACAGAGACTTAATTGGCGCTAGTTCAAAATAGATTTACAAAATAATGAGCACAGCCAAAGCTTTTCCCTTTGGCTGAATCAGTAAAAATCTGCGCCGTCTAACTTTTCCATTTGTCGTTTTGGCCTGAAATAATCCCGTTTAGGGTCCCGAAAAGCTTGAATGCCTCTTAGGAAACGTCGCGAATCGGATTTGTTCCCGATTCGAAAAATCATGAATAATTTTAATACCGTCGAATGAAATCTAATTAAATTCTGCAGGTTTTCCACCTTTAATTTCAGTAATTTGTTTCGCATTGAACTGATTGATCGCGAAGATGAAAGAATTTTCTTTTCCTCTCGATGTTTGAAGTAATCCTATTAGCAGTCGGTACTGTTGTAGTTTTAGATTTATGCTAACAACCCCTTTTGTTAGTGTTTAAGGTTGCGTTTCGGGCAAACGATTACCGAACTATAAAGCTGAATAAATTTACTAAATGTTCGGTTCAATTAATACCTAATTTTGATGTTTCTGTTACGAGTTTGGGTCAATATTATTAATATACGAACGTACCCATTAAAAGTCAGTCATTACAAACGATGGACTATTACCTTGTATTGGCTAGATTAGATTGTAATCGAATAAATTACATATTGGTTTATTCGTATCGAGAAGCTATCTTTTTCCACATCGACCAAACACAATGCTAATGGTGGGTTTTTTTCATTTCGAATCAAAATATACACTCGTGGACATTTTAAAAATAACCAGCAATTCAACGTGATTGTATTTAGAATTCAATATTTGGACAATCTTTGATTTTGTTGTTTGCATAAGGATCGATTCCGTGAAAAAATACAGACAGAAACGCGCGCTGCGGTATAGGACTTTCCCCTTACGATTTACAATCATTAAATATGTTGTGATTCAACATGAAAATATTTGCCTTTTGAAACAGAATAATTCCAACTGAAAGACACAAAATTCAATTTCAAAAAGCATTCATATAAGTATTGTGTCTAAAATCATGTGTTACCTTCCTTTTAATTAATTGGTTTTCATATTTCTTGAAATTTAATTTTCCTTTCAAACTACAATTTGCCATATTTACCCTAACAGAGCCTAGAACCAGTGTTTGTTTAGTATCGACTGCATGAAAAATGTTTACGCCGCTTTTCATTAGTTTTTAGCTGTTATTTTTAAGCTAGAATCAAAAATATGTTATGAAACCTGTTTGTAAACATTCTCTAACGGAGCTTATAATTACATCTATAAATTTAATTATTTTTCTATGCTTAACTGAAATAATCAAGTGGACGTGGTAAACAAAGATGGCGTAAAATTTTATTTAAAAAACATACGTAATTCTATGTGAAAAGAAAGAGTTGATGTCAATTCCGAAAAAACGAAAGGTGATATAATGCTAGTAGCAAATTTGAGACTTCTGTTTTTAAAAATAATCACACAAATATTAAAGTGGAAGAGGATTATAAACTGAAACACCCGGTTTATAATCCCCACTGGACTAACAAATTTCAAGGAATTTTAAATCATTTTAATAAAGTGACAATTTTTCAGATACACAAGGTAAACAAAACTAGAAAGTCTTATCGGATGAAAACTTCTTCGATCTTAATAGGTAATTTGTACTTGAAAAATTGCCTGTGTCAAGATAGTCGCCCATTTAAGGAAAAATTGGCTCCATTAAAACCCCGAGCAAATCGTGTGACATTTATTACGAAAACTTTTCGAACGGATTCAGGCATCTATAAAATTTAGCAATTAATGACGTGAAATAAATATCCTACCGCGTAAATGATCCCTAGATTCGTTAATTTTGTTGTTACGTGTTTTAACTGTGGGAACGGATTTTTCCTCTTTCGAAAATAGGCCGTCGCTATGGTTACCGGATTTTTTAGCACTAGATATCGCGTTTTAATTATGTAATGCATCAAAGTGGATAAATAGGGAACGGTAAATGAAGTAAACATATCTTTGTCCTTTTTGTTCATGCATAAATGTTAGTTATTTTTTCATTGAAAGAGATTTGGATTGTCCCGATGGCACTTCTTACGTACTTTTTACTTTGTCTGATATTTTATTAGGTTTCTTTCTCATACTGGTGCATATTAGTACAATTACCACATTTTGTAGAATACGTATTACATATACAATGACTCTATAATAACCGTTGTAGCAAATTGTAGGTGCACTACACATTATACACGGTTAATTTAATAAAGAATCGTTCAGTTCAAACTTGGGTATTGTCACTAATTAGTGAGCAGAAGGTCTTCGATAGCAATGCCCTGTGTAAGGTTCGGTACGGGCTATTTGTTTTCCTAGTACTGCAAATGTAATATTCTACTTACATATTAATACGTTTTCTTTATTGCAAAAAACCCTCTCTCATTTACTTCAAAAGTGTCCCAATATTCTACAAATGTTTTAATTAAACACAAACCGAGCAGTCGCTTCTCGTCAAAACTTCATTTTTCCTAATTCTTCCAGTTCTTCGTGTTGAAATCACCGACGTGAGTCGAGCCATTCTCTGAGAGGCAATTGACAGAAAACAAATCACTGCGTTGGGGCGAATTACCTAATCTTATCATTTAGGCCCTTCCAAATGACCCATCAAAAATAATTTGGTTCGACAATCGAAAATTCTTTCTTTTCTTCGCTGCGAAATGGTGGCCCCGATGCACCACGTGTTTGACTTGTAAAACAAGTTAAATCCGGGGCGGTTGGCGCTTTGGGTCTTCGTGGCAAACCGCTTAACTATAAGCTCCATCCGCGCTAATTGGGCTAGGTAAGCCGTTTTCCGGCAAGAACTATAGCGTATTTTGATTGGTCGGTTCTGAGTCATTACGTCTTCCGCGCTGCTCGGCAGATTTCTGCATTTACGTTAATAATACGTCGGTTTTTAGTTTTAGGCGACCGAGCGCCCTTAATGTGTTATCACTTTTTGCAGCTCAAGTGGCGAAACTACTTAATTAACAAAGTTATTTGTTGGAGTTGATAGATAATATCAACACCGTGTATCTTACCCACAATGCCACAAATTTCCATTTAATACAACGCAACCGCTGCGTGGTAACGGTAATAATCTGATAATAGTCGCAATTTATGTCCTCTGCCAACTAATATGATAAATGTAAGGTTCTTGCGTACCATTATCTCGAGAACAATTGCTATTATGTCTTCAAAGTTTCGTTTTTTGAATGTACTTTCAGAGATTTCACGTTGTGTCAGTGGCGTCGTAAAAGTGCACTGGATTTTGCACCAAACAAAATAACATAACGGTGAGTAGAACATTTTGAGGATTTGAATACTAAAAGTTTATTTTTAATCTCATGTTTTATTGAAGAGTGTGAAGCCGTTTGAGGTTCTCGTCTGGAAATTTAACACAAAATATGTTTGCGTTTTCAAGTTCTGTACTGCTCATATTTAATCGCAAATAGCGTAGTTGTGCAGAAGTAAAAAGTAAGTATTTGGATAATACTTGCACTGTGAGTTTTCTAGCGCAAAGAAACTGG